TAAACGTTGTACTTACCTCAATATTGGTTGATTATCGTATGCCTACAACCACGGGATGAAAACGAAACGAAGTCGATTTTCCCGCTCAACCTGGAGGACAATTGTACAATTCAATAACTATACAGCCTAGTTCAGACAATGTGTATTTATATATATATCAAATATTTAACTGTTGAAACATTATTAACTTGTAGACAATTTAAGATTTGACATTATATCATCCTTGATCGTGCCTGTAAAAATGGCATGCATTTTCATGTAAATTTATGTTTATATGAAAATAAATTATTATTATTATTATTAAGTCCTGCCAACCGACCTTACCTTCAGTCCATACTACCTAAATTGAACCTTAACTATAGTGTTCTGCTAAATCTTGTTCCACTATTCACAATACCTATTCGTTTTACTCTTTAAGGTTTTAACTTCTTATAAAGTAATCTGTTCATTAGGATGCATGCACACATATATAATATGTTCATAAAGATGTACGTGGAGACCTATTGGAAGCACTCATTAAGAAAGCTAGGGAGATGGAATATGGGGTACGAACATGTCTGGTACCAAGCAATATATTTGCGGTAGCCATAATAATCGTAGTCTCAGAGCCTAACATCAAAAAAGGAGGGAGGGTGGCGCTAGCTGATCAGTAGATATGGTGGTGGTCACTAAGGTGAATCGCCCCATTATGCGGCAACAGCAATATGCAATTCGACGGCTCGAGATATTTCTGATTTTTATGAGGGCTTAGATCTCTATCTTGAAAAAGATAATAATGAACGCCTTGACAGATCATGCTTCTACCTTTAAATATATACCATTCGCTCAGCCTGTTGTTGAGATGCGACCACGCGGGATCTGCACAGATTTATGGGGCATCTTATAAATTAACTTGCTGTCCATTGTCGGATCTATGAATACCACTTCACAATGTCTTATCTCATTCATTTTCTAATAACGTCTTTACTTAATCGTCATTATATTCCATTAAACCTAACATTTTATAGCTCTTTATGAATTTTATTCGACTTATCCTATTCCTATTCTCTGGAGGGTACGGTTGTGCAATAAATGCACAAAAAGGTATAAAATAAAAAATCCGGCATGAGGAAAAATGTATTAAAACCAAAAGTAGACATCATGATAGTACGAAATATACTGGTTTTATTATACATTGCAAATGAACGTTGTCGGCCTAAGGATTGATTACTTCCCCATTCTGTTTTCTATATAAATGTATTTATTAATGATATATTTCACTCACTTAATCTATTATTATTACAATTTCATGTTTCACCTTAGCACTTTGACTTTTCTAAAATAGCTTCCAATCCCTTGTAAACGTTGTACTTACCTCAATATTGGTTGGTTATCGTATGCCTACAACCACGGGATGAAAACGAAACGAAGTTGATTTTCCCGCTCAACCTGGAGGACAACTGTACAATTCAATAACTATACGGCCTGGTTCAGACAATGAGTGTAATTATATACATAAACATATCAAATATTTAACTGTTGAAACATTATCAACTTGTAGAGAATTGAGGATTTGGTATTATAACATACTTGATCGTGCCTGTAAAACTCGAATGAATTTTCATGTAAATTTATCATTATATGAAAACAAAATAATTATTATAAGTCAAATTCTCAGTCAGCTAGATGAAATTTCCAAAATCGTTCAAATCACCACAGTATGTGATCTGCTTCTTGACTGCTATCAAGAAATCAAACAAGCATTAAGTGAATGATGTCACATACTACTGATTAATTGATATAAGTAGATGAAGATTAGTCGCATCGACTAGTAGTGCTTGCTAGACAGATAGAAGTGATACCGAAATTATTGATTGCGAAGTTGGTCAGTTGGTCACTCAGCCTAGTAAACATATTCCAAATTTGACTGATACAATTCAGTTAGCACCACACCATGTATGACGTGGGGACTAATCAATTAATCTATGACACTCCTGCAGTAGATGAGTCGCAGCACGTATATATGAGATGCGACGTCTTTGAATGCAGCACTAAGTAAATGGGCGGGAGGAGGGAGTTTCGAATCTCTAGGGGGGGGGGCAAACACACCTTGCTAATAAGCAAAAAATACTCAGGTCATCAAGGGCTTCCTACTAACTGGTTATTTTAACCAATTCACCAAAAAATACCCATCTAGACATTAATATAAGAACAGACAATTAAGGGAAAAACCAACCATCGACAAATTTTCCCTCTATACATTGATGACACTTCAATCACCCAGTCATCAAATTTACAATTGAAGCAAAAACTGGACGGAGAGTCTCAATTCTAGAAGTCCAACTAACAAAGAAGATTGATGGGATATTGAACAGATCAGTATATGGAAAGTCTACGTGGAACAGCCTGTTGACAGATTTTTATGTGTATCTAATAAACTTACTTTTCTTGGGTGACCCTGATCAGTACTCTACCTAACGTGTAAGTACCAGTAAATCAACTCGAAATAAAAAGGCTTTTGACTAGTTAGTGTGCGATTCGTTATCACTTGCATCCTGTCGGTTATTCTTTATTGTTCCCCTTTAGTTTCGCCGCGCCTACTGGAGAAAGACTATACATTATTACGCAGGATGTTAGAGGTTGTCAGCAGGGTAAGCCACAGTGTGCCACTTAACCAGCTTGTTAATATTCTGGTGGACAGGCACATGGACTCATGTAAAAAATGGGCGAAATTCATCTTATTTGACTCACAACACCCTCTATATTCACAACTCTCCCCTTGCATCTCTTCAGGAAAAACCAGAAGCCCATATAGGAAACTATATGCCCGCACTAGTAAGTACAAAAACTCATCCATACCCTACCTGGCTCGTGTTCTCTGCGATAAAGAAAGCATTAGGCGTGAAACTCTTAACTTAATAAATGGTCAGTAGAACAAGTGGATCTCGTCTTTCCAACTCACAGCATTTACAGGTACAATGTTTTTGTCAATGTAGTTGAAGACTGAACGATCAATTCATGGTTGTTTGCTCAAAACCAACTTCCCCAATTTTCGCGGAGGCATCAATACGACAGTCATCGTCTCATCGGTTGCTGTTCAGAAAGAAGTCAGTAGAAAACCATCAGAAGTAATATTGTGATTTATTATTGTAATATTTGTTCACAGACCTTAGATGTAACAGTTTTTTATATGTTGGTGTTACAATAAAGAATCCTAGAGTCGCCATCCGGTGTTTTGGATTTTCGTCCGTCATTACTAAGCGTTTCTGAGAAACTTCAAGGAACAGCGTAAGCTTGAGTACAGCAAGAGCTGGGCATAGACGGTTTATGAGACGTGCCTAACAGTTTTCTCTCTACTTTTTTTCATTCTGTATTTATTTTTGTTATGTGCTGTTTTGTTTCTCTCTTCATTAAAAACTCTACTTAAAACATTCTTGTTCGTTCTTTCACTCTCTGTATATCTTGACCATTTTGCTATCGCTTACGCCAGTAAATATGCTAGTAGTATCTACTTTTCTAACACCTTCGAACACTGTTTAAATTTTGGCTTTGCTACCGACATGCTAATATGTTGTTGTCAAAACTGACTGAGATAACTTTAATCTATGTAGAACTTTATTTATTGTTAACGTACTAACTGGATGCAATATTGTGGTAAAAATGCTGAGAATTCCATTCTGTATCACAAGTACTGATTTGAGATAAAGCTGTTATCTTATCTAATCTCCTTAATTCAACTTTCGTAGACACAACTAGTTTGTAGAATTCGGCGACATCATAATGTGCTAAACAGGGTCTTCCTATTACGAACACGTATGGTATATTTCATTATTAGGTTACATTAGATCGTTCCTCAGCAGAAATTTTGCCATAATACACGTTTCATCTAACGGTACACATGTATGATTCAAATTGGGATTTGTTGAAATGTCTCACTTCTGTGTGCACCGTAATGCTGTCACCTCGCTTAGTTTGCTGGTTTATTACCTTACTAGTCACACCTGAGCACGGAAAAATGGGGAATTCGAGCGTGGGGCTAGTAATATTACTTCAGAGAATCAATCCAATCGGTGCAAAATGTCAAATTACAGAGGAAATGTAGAAAAATATGGAGTTACCCTTTGCTAGAACCAGAAAGATGAAATGACTTGGGTTGGTGGAGGCCTTCGGGAAGCTTGTCATCTAGCTTGTCTTCTTCGGATGATGGCAAAATTAGACAGAGACCTGTGTGCTTCAGTGAATGTATATTGGACGTTAAGTTGTGAAAACCATACGATTTTTTTCTTTGTGAATTGAAGTTATTGAAATCAAGTTGTGCAGTTAATTAGTTTTTGTCATCTAAATTCAGGTGAGTTTGAGGATGTATAGTGAAATCGTATTACTATATCATCTTCTCTGATTTTGGAGAAGTCCGACTTATTGTTTTTTGCGCTATGAATTTTCAGTATTTATATTATTGATACCATATATTGGGATAACCATCTGCCAAACATTGCTTCTTTATCAGGCTACGTGGACTAGACTGGGTAGTCTTCCATCAATGGAAGATTAATGTTCGCTTCTCAAGACAAACTTTTTGCAGTGTATTAAATCTGCTCAAATATATTTAAAACAACAGACCTCATAAGCATTAGAAGGGAGATCAGGGTACTATCACTTTCGACATTTCTATACAGCTGATTCACCTGTTTATTGTTCGCCCACTAGAAAACTTTTCACCATCTACGGAAATTTTGGCTTCATACCACGGGGCATTGAAAAACATTCCCACAGCTCAATGTTTAAAGTCTTACTGCCTTCCCTTGAAGAAACCAGATATCTACTCGTTTTTTCTTGAATATTTAGCGACTAACATGTTATGTGTCGATTTATTTACGAATAATCATTTCGTCGAATACCGTCTGACAGCTAACTTCTATATCCCTGCAGATAGTGTGATGCCTACTCGTAGTTTTCCGCTTTTTGTTTTGCTTCATCACTTGTTTTTGCCAAGGTTATACGAAGGTCGTGCTAATTATTAAATGTCCGAAACACCTGGTCCAATCTTGGTTTATGATGGTATTCCATTAAAATAACTTTCAATAAAATAAAAAGGAAAACATAGAGGTTTTAGGTTGCAAGAAGATGAAGAAACTGGCAAAAATCTTTCGCGCTTGTTGAATATATTACGTTCATATAAACCTGAATTAGCTTCCGAACTTCTACGCGCTTTGGTAACTCCTGTTACTTGTAAAATATTTTTAGAGTTCATTCCCAAGGTTTTAGTTTTAATTTCATATTTTATGTCGTATTCAGGTTCTTAAATTGTGTTCAGAATCAATATCTTCTCGACAACTTTGACCCACCAGTATTTATTGGAATCGGTGGTTTTGGAACCGTTTATAAGGTTTGTTTATTCACTTAACTTATTACCTCCAAATAAAGTCTAGGCACAAAATCGATGGAAAAATATACGCAATCAAAAAGATTTCCGGTTCACGTTCGAGAGATGCTCTTGTAAGTCTTCAATTGTCGTAGGGATATTTTATGTACATAAAGAAATTTACATCAGTAATAGCTGTGTAGTTGGTTGTGCGCCGTCCTTACTTAGAAGTCCTGAGATATTTTATCTGTGTACCAGCATTTTCAATGTTTGTACCACGTAAAACATACATAACTATTGGCAGTAGTTGACGGGTACGATAAATTTTACTCCTGTAGGCTTTGATCATAATGTGAATCGAAGCAACTTACAGGTACAATAAAAGTCTGCAATCTCTATAAATATAAGCGCTAGACATTGCACTAAAGTCCAGAGAATTAGTCTAATCAACAGTCGTACTTTAATTCATTCCTTCGGGATATACGATGTCGAACGAACAATCAGTTTACCTAACAAAGTTAATAATTTATCTTACCCCTTTTTATCCAATCTTCTATGCTCAATTCATTCGTTCTGTATTAATGATTCGAAAATTTTGACGACCTATCTACCCTCAGTTTATTATTAAGTATTTCTACCCTACACTTTGAAGTCTTCACTTGGTCGAATCCATTTGAGTGCTTTGCTTTTTCAAGGAGGTCACACAGCACCGAAATAACTACACCTTATTATTCAAATCCAGTGAGTATTTTAGTGAAGGCTAAATGCAACTAATAACTGGGACATAGTTTTTGCTGTTTTAGAACGTAATGTTATATATGCACCTAAAAGACAGAGGTGTTCTGTTTTCAGATATCCAAAGCATAAATTGTAATAGCTACATACGTTTCATTGAACTGTTAAATTATCTATGTAGAAAAAGTATCTAGTATTACCTAGCATTATATTACTATTATAATCACTATTACTAAAACAAATCCGATACATTTTGGGCACTGAATGTTATTTATGCGAAAACTGGGTTACTACTCGGATCCCAAACCGAAGCAGGTGATTGTCTTAGGGGACTATCCCTTGCATTTTTATTCAGAAGACAGTAAAGCAGCGTCAGGAGCTGTCTCAATGATTGGAACAGGTTCATAGGATATTCGACCATTTTGGATTCTGGAGCCTTTGTAAACCGTGGGCTTGGAATCAGAGTTTTCCAACTCCCTTAGATAGACCTGCATGTCCACCAGTCCGGCTGTAAGCTACAGATGTTCTCATCCACCCTTTCACTTTTATGTTGGGAACACCTGCTACTGCGTGGAGGCAGTGGATAGAAATTACCTGATGGAAGTTGTGAATACATGACCACATGAAAACATTTCGAGAGAAACAGCTAAGTCTACCAACCGTCAACCCTACCAGGTCGTTAATGGGAGCAGTATTTTATTTAGTAGCTTAACTGAAATATGTTTTCTAGGGTATTTATTACTTGATTTGTTTAACAGAGTAATATACTGCTTTGAAAAGTAAGAACTCTTTATGATTGAATATCCTATTTGTAGAATCTTAAGCTCACTAAGCGATCATGCCAGTCGCTGCAGTCAACCGTACCATGATAATATTTCCCCAGAATGTTATTATTTATAGCAATAATAATAATAATTATACCTAACATAATACTAACAGACGAGGCAGTCATTGAAAATTCTTGAAGTGATTATGTAGTATTTATATCTTGTCAGATGCTACAATGTATTGCATAACTGTCAAGATGAAATAAGAGGTAGCTTTAGGTGTCCTATTAAGTGTATAAAAGTTATTGCTTCTTGAATTATGCAACCCTTCAATGTAGTTCACTTGTTCTAGGACACAACAGCGGGCAATCATTTGGATAGCAGCATAACTAGAACCAATGGCATGCAAATCACTAGGCCGACTCTTTATCAACTAGGCTAAAAGACCTGTCATTTTAATCAGCAATCAGCATAGACAATGACGTCACTTATTCATCATCAGGTCTGCCGATCTATAATTATCACGGATATTCTCGTCATCAGTTATTTATTTTTGGCCTCATAGTTCATATCACTAATTAAACGTTTGTTTAACTTTGTATTGTATAATTTCATTTGCTTATTTTTAGGAGCTTGCTCGATCAGAAGTGTATACAATGTCCAGACTTAGACATATCAATGTTGTTAGATATATTACTTCTTGGTTAGATTATGAGTGGGTATCTGTTAAGGAAGAAAATGAAGTAAGTACTTCATGATTATATTGATCAGAATACAAATAATTAGGTTGTCTATATGTTTTCGTCAGAAAGAGGATAGCTCGGGAGATAACTTCTTCCTTGCTAGACCCCACAGTTATGAATCCATAAGTGTTAGAATACAGCAGCATCAGTAAAGGCGAATTTAAATTATGTCATTCCCTGTCTTTTACCTCACTAGCATTATTTTCCAGACTATTTCTATTCCCTCTCTTAACTGTGTGACCATTACTAGTATATCTTGAACGAGAAAGTCACTGTCCATAGACTCGAAACACCAAGTTTTCAACTCCATTGTGGAGCTTTCAACTTCAGGAACTTAAGCCAGATTGGAAAATAGGCCCGTCTAGACTAAATTCTGGCACCTTAAGCTTCAGATTTATGTTTTATCTCCAGTCATTTCATACAAGACCCATTTGTTTTCATTATTCACCTAGACCCATCTAGCTGACATAATGAATCTGTAAAATTTACTCTGAGAATACCATTAGATTATTCGACTAGTTCTTGCAAACTTGTTCCTGTTGAGGTATCATTAAACTGAAGAGCAGGAAACTTGCTACTCGGTTAGATTCTAGTGTAAACAACCAGATCAAAGATGGACCCAAGTATTTCACATAGCTACAAGCTATCGATGGAGAAGTTTGACTCTTTGTGTTTGAACTTTGATCATACATGAGTCCATATGCAGACATACCTTCCAGCAGATGTATGTAGAAAACAAGTAACTGCGACATCCTTATATGTCTAATTTCTCGATGAATATGTAAAGTCTATATTTACGGAGGAGACAACCAAATACCTATCTGAGTATAACAACGATACTCAGTCACCTAGGCGATGGCTGACATCACTTCCAGTTTGTTGTTGAGACAGTGGTAAAAGCCGTTATATGACGACTGGTCCCAACAGTTAGAGGTGCAAAAGCTCGATCGTAAGTTAACCAAAAGTCTTCACAGTAACCCACTCGCATTCCACTCGATGGCCTGGTGCTTGATGTCGCCTGACGGACCCTCAGAGTGCGTCCCATCCGTTCCCACTTTCCTAGGCATATTTGTTGAGCAACAGGTTCTCAGTTGGTTCGTTCCCAAGGTTTCCTGGCCATCTAAATTTCAATACAGAGCCAACGAAGGCAGCTCTTGATAAAATTCTGCAATAGCCTGTTGAAAATGCTTTTCTCAACGAGAACTCCAAGTGTATGACCCATAGAGAAGAATTGTTTCACTTGACATTGGTGTTGAAAACCGGAGGTTTTTTCTATATACTGATTGCAGAAGATTCCCAAGCTAATTTCAGAGAGGTGAATTTCTCTCTTGCCTTTCCAATCCTGACTGATTTTGACATCATCCGTGTCGATTGCCTGTTGTTGAAACTATGCTTCCTAGATAAATGAAGGAATTTCTTTCGTTGGTAGTGATTGGTGCTTATCCTATCTATGTTCATTTGAAGTCCTGTCTTGATTGCTTCCCCTACCAGTTTGTTGGTTTTCGCTTGTAAGTCTTCGAATTTATATGACATCAGACATAAGTCTTCAGCGAAGTTCATATCTTCTATAGTCTTCTTATCGGTGTTCCAGCGTATTCCTGTCTTCTCGCTCCCATACGCAGTATTCCGCATAATCCAGTCCACCATACTTAGGAACATCATAGGTAGTAGTGGGCAGCTCTGTCTTATTCCTGTCTCCACTTTCCGTTGTAGAAGGAAACTTGTTTTTATGGTTTAAAATAATTATTGTAACAATTAGTTTGTAATTTAATATGATAATAGTAAGGTGTAATTACGCATGATCACATTATCAGGATGAAACTAAGTAACCGCCTTGAAAACTAATTTGACAGAATATAATTGAAGACTCGTTTATCGGACAAATCATAACTTCGCCTGCAGCAGAAATGGTTCATAGTCGTTTTTTCATTCCTCTACGTTCCCATTGGCTTAAAGTTCCAGTAGCGGTGGCATTTATTTTTACGGGATGGGGATGCCCAACCTTTCCTCTTTACCAGTCTAATTACTGGCTTAGCAAAGTAAAGGAATGCGTCGGCCGGGGATTGAACCCAGAATCACATGAGGCGTGGCTGGTGAGCATTCTACCACTGTGCCACAGATGCCCCAGTTTATAGTTTATCCCCATATATTTGTAAAGAGGAAAAAATAAAACTATAGACTTCATATCATAGATTTGTAGACTCATCTTCGATATGATTATGAACAATAAAGGCTCAGTGTTTGGAGTATTTTTGTGTAAATACTACTTCTCCCTCTGACATTCTGATATAGAAGAGGTAACTTGACTGACTAGCTGACCGGTTTCAACATAGAACTTCACACGGATGTGCAGTAGTTCAACCTGCCACACCCTTTATGCAGCACACAAAGGAGAGAAAAAAGATATTCGAAAGGGAGAAAGATAAATGATAAACAAAGAAAGATAAACAGAAATATGAGGGAGAAAGAATAGTAACATAGAAAGACCATAGGGTTTTATTTGAAAGGGGAGATCGCAGAGGGCGAATGTATCTCCACCACTAAAGATGATTTCTAGCCATATCAGCAATTGTCTCCAGCTGTTTTTTCTTAGGAGCCTGAGGAGTCCATCCAGGCAGTCTACACCTCCCTTGCTATCTGGCTGGCTTAAACTAACTGTTAAAGATATCATGGACTGATGGCATGTTTTGGTTTGACCACCACTAGCTCTTCTCCAGCCTGCTCTTACTCTGTCAGCTAACATTGCCCAGAGGAAGACGATAGCTAGGGATGTATGCGTAACACATGTCCTAACCATCTCCATCGATGTCACTTCACAACCTCATCAATTGACTTTCCCTCGATGCCTAACCTCAATGTTGCTCACCCTGTCGTATCACCTAACATGGGACACAGAATGGAGACACCTATAATGAAAGACAACTAGCCTTTCCATGTCTGCTGAGCAGTATACACGTTCTTTGATCGATAGCCAGCCGAATAACACGTCTACGACAGAGATGATGTAAGTTGGCGAATACCATGCTACCCTTCTGTGACTGTGCTGAGATTTTGTCAGCAATCCTCCTGTTGGGACTGATACAACTTCTCAAATTAGTGAAGTGGTCAACACGTTCTACCAACCACTTCACTCCATCCCTATCTTTAAGCTAGAGTGGGTCGATGTAGTCCAGTCCTTTAGTATCACCTGACATTTGACAGGAGTAAATCTCAGTAAGAAGTAGAGTTGAATATTATTATTATTATTATAACATAAAATACATACTTATTGGTATTCTTTTAAAAATCTCTTTACAGGGATATCCCGGTAACACGACTTCACAACATTGTCCTAAGTAAGTGCTTTCTTTTCCTAGTAGTTATTTCTGAAAGGTTGTAAATTGTATCCGTGGGTCATTACCCCCTAGCCTCGCCCTATGCTTATTATTCACCTACCAGCATTACATTTACATTGTGTTTGCATTCAGTCTTAACTTGATTATCATTCTGTTTGTTTGCATGGGAATTTTCGTCTTATTTTAATAGCAATGAGCTGCCATTTCTTTCAAATGTAGATTTTGTCGCCAACCGACCAACATCAGTTGGAGATTGTTTAAAACCTGTATTGGAAAACCGTTTTATCCTAGTGTTAGACTCTTCAGCACCAAGGGTCTGCAAGTTAGTCTAAACTCGTTCACCATTCTGTCTGTCTCTGTCTGTTTTCGACATAGAACTTTGCACAAATGTGCGCCAGTTCAAGTCGCCACACTCCGTGTAGCACGCGAAGCAAGAGAAGAAAGTACAAGAAAAGCATAATAGAAACAGTGAGCACAGGTGTGAGACAAAGGAGTAATAAAGAAAAACAAAACAGTTTCATTGGAGATCATAAGTCACAAGGAGTGGATGCATCTGCGCCACTGAGAACGATTTTGAGCCATGTCACCAATTGTTTCCAACCATAGATTTTTACCGTCCTGAGGACCCCAGCCAGTCAGGAAGTCTACACCTTCCTACGTGGCTTAGACCAACTGTTGTGGATTTCATTGACTGGTGAAGCCATGTTTTGGTTTGACCGCCGCTAGCTTTTTTCCAGCCTGACCCTATATCCGCTAACATTGCTGGTCGAGGGAGGCTATGGCTTGGCATACGTAACACATGTCCTAACCATCTCAGTCTTTGTAACTTCACCACTTCGTCGATTGATCTCCCCTGTTTACCTAGAACTCTACGCCTAACCTCAATGTTGCTCACCTTATTATGCCACTTCACACGGGAGATAGAACACAAGCACCTATGATCAAAGACAACTAATCTTTTCATGTCTTCCACTCTCAATGACCAGGTCTCGCTCACAGCCATAAAGGAGGACGGAGCGGACTGATGAGCAGTACACCCGCCCTTTGGTCGATAGTCGGATATCACGTCTACGCCAGAGACGGTGTAAACTGGCATGTGGGAAACTAGCCTTCTGTATTCGTGCTGAGATTTCGTCAGAGATCAGCCCGCTGGCGCTGGCTGATGGTACTTCCCAAATAAGTGAAGCGGTCAACGTGCTCTACCACTTCACTTCCTATTTTTAAACTAGGTGTCGATGTAGTCCAGTCCTGTAACATCATCTTGCATTTGGTGGGAGCGAATCGCATGCCAAACATTCGTAGATTTCTGCTCAAGGTGTTGAGAAGACTCTGCATTTCGTCAGCGTCTTCGCCTAGAAGGACTATATCGTCTGCATATTCCAAGTCATCATTCATCCACTTGGGTCTAGCAGTGTCTCATAAGCTGAATGACTGACTGACTAGTTTCAACACAGAACTCTGCAAACATGTGCCACACCCCATGTGGCACACAAAGCAAGACAACGGAGTAAACGGTGATCCATAAGAGAGAGAGATACTAAACATAAATATGAAGGAAAAAGAACAGTAATATTGAAGAACAACAGAGTTGAGAAGGATTTTGAACCATATCACCAATTGTCTGCAGCCTTCATTGGTTCTTACTATTTCAAGGACCCCAACCCAGTCAAGAAGTCTAAACCTTCCTACGTGGCTGGCTTACCTAAACGAAGTGTTGTGGATTTCACTCACTGATGAAGCCATGTTTTGGTTTGACCACCACGACTAGCTTTCTCTTTTCCAACTTGATCCATCCTATGTCAGCTGACATTGCCCGTCGAGGGAGGCGATCAATGGCTAGCCGCATGCATTCGTAACACATGTCCTAACCATTTCAATCGGTGTAACTTCACGACCTCGTCGATTGATTTCCCCTCCATCTACCTAGCACTCGACCGACGCCTAACCTCAATATTGCTCATCCTATTATACCAATTAACACGGGAGATAGGATGGAGACGCTTATGATCGAATCCATATAGCTCCCCTTTTCATGTCTTCCACTTTCAATGACCATGTCTCGCTCACAGCCATAAAGAAGGACAGAGCGAAGTGATGAGCAGTACACCCATCCTTTGATCGGTAGTCGGATATCACATCTACTCCAGAGACGGCGTTAGTTAACTTATACTAAACGAGTCTTCTGTTTCCGTTCTGAGATTCTGTCAGTGACCAGTCGGTTCGGGTTGATGCAACTCCCCAATAATTGAAATGGTCAACACGCTCCACCAACCACTTCACTCCCTCCCTATCTTTAAGCTAGAGCGGGTCAATGTAGTCCAGTCAGTCTTGTGGCTTCATCATCTTGCATTTGACAGAAGCGAGTCGTACGCCAAATATCCGAAGACTGTTGTTCAGCTCAAGGTGTTTAAAAGACCCCGCATTTTGTCAGCATCCTCACTTAGAAAGATTATATCATTTGCATATTCTAAGTCAACGAGATTATTTCCTCCCTGGTAACAAGTAAGTCTCTGATTCGCTGAAGTTACTTCGGGTTAAGTCCATTAGTACAATAGCGATAATAAAAATAAACAGAAATGGGGACAGTACGCATTCCTGACGGACATCGGTCTCCAATGATATCCCTATGAAAAGCCAATAATTTCATACACTTGGTTCCCTTGATATATTTCGATGAAGAAAGAAAAAAAGACTTAATAAATTCTGCAGTTGATATAGTTTATTCATGTTTGGCGTGCGATTCGCTCCCGCCTAATTTAGGATGATGGTACAGGACTGGAATACACTGACTCCTAGTTTAGAAATAGGGAGTGAAATGATAGAGCATGTTGACCGCTTCACTTATTTGGGAAGTACCATCAGCCAGCGCCAGCGGGCTGATCTCTGACGAAATCTCAGCCCGGATACAGAGGGCTAGTTTCCCATATGCCAGTTTACACCGTCTCTGGCGTAGACATGATATCCGACTATTGACCAAAGGGTGGGTGTACTGCTCATCAGTCCTCTCCGTCCTCCTTTATGGCTGTGAGCGAGACCTGGCCATTGAGAGTGGAAGACATAAAAGATTAGCTATCTTCGATCATAGGTGTCTGCGTTCTATCTCCCGTGTGAAGTGGTACAATAAGGTGAGCAATATTGAGGTTAGGCTTCGGTCGAGTTCTAGGTAAGGGGGAAAATCAATCGACGAGGCCGTGAAATTACATCGACTGAGATGGTTAGGACATGTGTTACGTATGCCTAGTCATCGCCTTCCTCTGGGGGCAATGTTAGCTGACATAGGGTCAGGCTGGAAATGAGCTGGCGGCAGTCAAACCAAAATATGGCACCAGTTAATGAAATCCACAACAGTTAGTTTAAGTCACGTAGGAAGATGTAGACTTCCTGGTCGGGTTTCTCGGGACGGTAAAAACCAATGATTGGAGACAGTTAGTGATATGGCTCAAAATCGTTCTCAATGACTGGTGCAGTTGCATCCACTCCTTGTGATTTATAATACCGAATGAAACTATATTGTTCTTCCATATTACTATTCTCTTTGCTTCATATCTCCGTTTTGTGTTTCTATTTTGCATTTCCTTCTAATTTCTTCCCTCGCTTTGTATGTTACATGGAGTGTGGCAACTGGAAATGTGGCACATCGGTGCAAAGTAGTTCTACGTTGGAACCAGTCAGTCAGGTTATCTGGGACTTCAACTCGGTAGCTTCTAATAGTCAACAGATACTGGTCGTAACACATACAGGCCCTAGAGTCGTTGATACCCACTACTGAAGAGACCTGAAAAGGGCTCAAAAACAGCTGTTCAGTGTTCTCGTTAGTGACTAGTGATTATCCTTTTTGAAGTTTAAGTGTGTATAATTTCTTATTATTTTCTACGATGGCAGTTTCATTTTGTGAAGATGTACTTTTATAAGTTATTGGTGTATTACTTGTGTATTCCATCATGAACTATGGGTAGTTTAATTGTCTGTCTAGACAACCTGTTCAATATTAACTTCATAAAATATAAAGTGAGCTTTTCTGATTCTTCATTAGACCTAATAAAATAGAATTCACCTACACGACAGGTCAATAAAATAGTCAACACTAACAATAATGGACAAAATGGGTGAAGAAAACCTCCGGAAACAACCAATCATGTTTAAGTTCACTAGGAAAGATGAATGATAAACTCATGAAGCATTCTAATACCTTATGTTATTATTATGAAGGTAGCTCTGAAGTGAAGTCATCTAGATACCGCTGTATTGTTGTTATAATTATTCTTTTGGGTTCCGAGTTTAGAATCGGGCTTCAGCAGAACATCTCCATTCCACCGTGTTACCTGAAGTTTTTTCTAACTAGCTCCACTGTTAAGAGAGCTGTCTGCTAGCCGAAATTGGTAGACAGCAATTTACGTCAATGTTTTCGTCTCACATCTTGGTCATGAGAAAAAAAACAAGAACAAAGATTAACTCAACAACCAATCACAGCAGACTATGTGTGGGCGGATACGATTTGCAGATATATGGTCTAACCTCCAAAGAAACGGCCACAAAGAGATGAGAGAATAACCTTCAGCAGGAAAACAACCAATCAGAAGACTCTATTTTTCTCTGTTAATAATAACGAATAATAATGTTTTTCTATAGTTTGGTTTGTAAGGGTCAGTGCTGTTTTTACGAGTTGATCACGGATAGATATCAGCTAGAGAACCATTGAAAACTAGCACTAGAGTACTGGACAGCTGTTTCATTCCACTAGTTTGGGAATCGTCGACAGTATGCACCTACCACAGTGGGGGTCGAACCCAGGACCTTCCAGTTACAAGACAAGCCGATGATTGCCAAACTAGGATGAAACAACTGTCCAGTACTCCATGGTTTTTTCAATGGTTCTCTAACTCGACAATGGTTAGGACGCTCGCCGACCATGCACATGGTCCGGGGTTCGATCCCCTGCCGACGCACACCTGACATCTGTGGTCGGCCCGCAAAATTTGGGCTACCGATATCACATGCTG